GACGACCGAGCCGGGGCCGTGGAGCCCGGGTACCCCCGGCCGCTGAACCTCTGGAAGGGGGTGCCCGCCGGGCTGGACGACATCATCAGCTGGAATGACGGTAGGTCACCTTCCCAGGGGTGGGATGCTCCCCAGGGTAACGGGCCCTTCTGGCCACATTTCCAGTGGCAAGGGGTTCCCCAGGCTCACTGCTCCTTTTCTACGACCGAGCCGGGGCCGTGGAGCCCGGGTACCCCCGGCCGCTGAACCTCTGGAAGGGGGTGCCCGCCGGGCTGGACGACATCATCAGCTGGAATGACGGTAGGTCACCTTCCCAGGGGTGGGATGCTCCCCAGGGTAACGGGCCCTTCTGGCCACATTTCCAGTGGCAAGGGGTTCCCCAGGCTCACTGCTCCTTTTCTGCTTGTGGGGTCTTCCCGGGCTAGTGGAGCATCTCCTGCAGATTTCCACAGGAGGTGGGGAGGCAGGGGAGCCCTCTAGGCTAGCAATGCATCTGCCGCCATTTTCCCAGGGGCGGGCAGTTCCCCAGGTTAATGCTGCTGCTCTGCCTCCTTTGCTGACAGAGCTGAGCAGCCTGGGGTCTGGCGCCCTCTTGTGGCCCCGAGCAGTATTGCAGCACCATTCAGCAAAAGCCACCCCTGCGGCAAATGCCCCATTCTCATTTCTTTCTCTCTCTCGCCCCCCCCTGCAGGAAGCACCTACTTTTTCAAGGGCTCCCAATACTGGCGCTTTCTGGGGGGCAGCGTGGAGGCTGAGAGTGGCTACCCCAAGTCAGCTGCCCAGGACTGGATGTATTGCCAGGGTGCCCCCACTGCATCTCCGGCCCCAGGGCCCCGTGGAAGGTGGGGGGAGCCTGGAGGTGGCCAGTGCCTCTGCAGTGGGGCCCCGCCAGGCCCTCTGGCAGCCCTCCTGACTTGGATCCTGGCTCTGGCATGGGCCCTGCGGTGACCCCTGCCGTGCTGCGCCGATGCACTTTATGTGATCCCACTGCTGGCACCAGAGCCTGTTCGCAGCGTCCCCCTCTTACCACCAGAGGGTGCAGCTGGGGGGAGCCTGGAGGTGGCCAGTGCCTCTGCAGTGGGGCCCCGCCAGGCCCTCTGGCAGCCCTCCTGACTTGGATCCTGGCTCTGGCATGGGCCCTGCGGTGACCCCTGCCGTGCTGCGCCGATGCACTTTATGTGATCCCACTGCTGGCACCAGAGCCTGTTCGCAGCGTCCCCCTCTTACCACCAGAGGGTGCAGCAC